TCATCCAAGATTCGCCTGAAGACTGGAATGAGCAAGCAGTCTTAATGCACCTGATCTACCGCCATGCGCTAGTCACGATCGTGGCAACCTCTGCTACGTCTTGCCACGACGGCTTTCTAGACCGCGACACTGATCACATATCCGCCATGAAGGTCTCTTACGCTGCTTCTTCAATGGCTAAGAATGGAACAGATGAAAACGAGACTTATATGATCATTTGTGACTATCCCAAATCGTCTGAGAGCTACCGCACGTATGCGATAAACGGTTCAAGATGGAACACGAGAGCATGGACTATGCAGGAGCGCAGTTTGTCAACTAGGATGATCCATTTCTGCAGAAATAAGCTCTTCTTCGAATGCAGAGAATGCCTTGGATCTGAAGAGAACGAACCCGTTCAAGAGTTCGAGAAGATGAACAGTGTTTTATGGCCACGGGACTCCAACTCATTCGCAGAGCTTCGTCAGCATTGGCAACTCCTCCTTGGCGAGTACACTGGTCGTGCATTGACCGTTCAGTCTGACAAGCTTATTGCCATACAGAGTGTTGCGGAGGACATGGCTGCAACTACAGGGCGCGAATACATTCGGTATGCAGGCATGTGGCGGGACAATCTACGCAATGAGCTACTCTGGTACGCACCGTCTGGCGATACTCAGCGCCCTGCCGAATGGCGTGCACCTAGCTGGTCATGGGCTTCAGTTGAAGGACAAGTGCTCTTCTGGCATCGTGACTTCCGCGCATCAGGACGTAGCAGTGCCCGGACTCTACTTCACTCATTAGCCCAGCATCCTCTTGAAGTGCTATCGGTCGATCGAAAATATCCTGATCCAGCGTCAGCGCTCCCGGGATGGATCGAGGTCGAAGGACTGTTCATACAAATAAATCTCATCGAAAAGACGAATACCGGCGGTAGAGTTTTCTTTCCTTATGATCTGACAACCAGTAACAATCAGACGGCGACGATGACAGCCGCAACACTACAAGTATTTGCACATGGACGCCTCGACTTCGAGGAATTCAGTTCAGACGCACAACATGCTAAGCTTATCTACTTGCATGTGAATGACGATGCGCGAGTGACGGGTCTCATACTATCCGCCACGGGTAACGCAGACAGTCAAGTAGTCCCTGCTTGGAAGAGAGTTGGCATCGCAACGCTATTCTTTGACCGATCGGACAAGCCCATTTTGGACTCTTGCATTTACAGTAGCGTCGCTGATCAGCGAATTATGGTCATCTGAATGGGACGACACGAACAACTCACGACCTCTTGTATGTTATGGTGCCGGGACAGATCTTCAGACGCCAGACGGCCTATGCCTACATGTACGGATAACTACCCACCTAATATATGACATCGAAAACACAGCGTTATGTGATTAAGCACGGTCCTTGCACCCGCAGGTAAGTAGGCAGAGCTTTCTGTTATCCCCAAAGCCCAGCACAACTTCTGGGTTGCCATCCTCGGAAGTCCTTCGTCCTTGAGGTTGAATAATACTGCTCCTCGAGATGATAAATCTGCATAGTAGTCACACCACCGCCCTCCTGTATTATATTTAGAGTGAGATAAATACGTTAGGTCTTGCTAAGCCTGCTGTAATTAATTTGCTTTAAAAAAAGACCTGTTTTAATGCGTATATATAACATTTAAGAAAGTAATCGATCTTGGTTTGATTCCGTTAGATAAAAAAACAACTAAATGAATAACTACTGCCGCCTTGCTCTTAACTATAGTGTTTTCGATTGAACGAATGTAGAATGGAGTTTTAAGCAGAAATGTATACTCTATGTTGTTCGCATTCTCTAATAAAAGCGTTATATAATAACTGCTTTAATCTTGATCCCAAGGTGGAACCGGAAATTCGAGATGGTAAATTTGAAATCTCGCGTGAGATAATGAAAAGACTCTTCAGTCCCACCATCGACGAGATTAGGAAATTAGGAACCTCAACAGCTTGGAAATCACCGAGACCAAGAAGAAGGGCAAAATGCTGAAGGTTATTCTACTAGCAGGAGGATTTGGTATGAATGAGTATCTGAAGAAAAACATTAAAGAAGAAGTTGGCGCAGCGGTTCAGGTCACGCGGATGAAGCACCGGTATGTAGAATACCATCTCAGTGGAACTGAAACTACATGATTTTGAACTATGCAATAGTAACACAGCAATTGTGAGGGGCGCACCTCGAAAACACTAATTATGGCATAGCTGCTTTAGATGTCTATCACCCTGACAAGCATGATCCAACGAGACCGAAGTGAGTAGCAAGATTGTATACACCGCAAAACGACTATCTCAAACATTTGGAGCTAACCGCTCACATTCGCAAGAGTCGAAGCTGGCGTAGACGACATTTGCGTGGCACGTGCAGCCGCGGCAATGAATCTGGAATGTCACAATTTTCAGCAGCTTAGTAATTATAACTCCGGGGGCGTCCCAGAATTCCCCGAGGACCCCTGTGCTGGATTGTCGTCACCACCGTTCTGCAGCGGCAACTTGGGTAGCGCAAAGCGACTGACACGGCGAGAACCGACCTGCAGCGGCATTCACTCGCGAGCTTTCTCGATTCCCCCGTTGTAAGGTATTTTGTTTGTCTTATCTTTCGCTTGCGCCGTTTCCCCGACGAATTGCGCTATTCCTGTAGGCTGTCGCGGCGGCCAGGTTCGGTCAGGTCTATGTAATAACAGTTGTGATATTGATAACCCTCCATAACCCAACGTGTGGATCGGCCGATTACTCGGGTCCCGGGGCGACACTGTGCCATGCTCTCTCAGGTTTGTCAGACTTTGTCCACGGAATTCCCAGAGCGGAATAATACCTCATCGATGCCAACCCACCTGGCGAGTCTAGTCGGCAGAATAGTCCACTCCATGTCTGCACATCCTCCCGAATCTGCGCCTGGGCCCTCATGATGGCATCTCTGGGCATGTAGGGGATACTGCCCCGATTTCTGTACATTCTCCTGATTGGGTTGCATCACACTTGAAACAGCAACTGACTAGAATGCTCTTGTTGTTTTATGCTTTAGGGAACTGTTCCGGTCTACATAGCCAATGACACACGAACGCCGAAGCGTTTGCCTAGCCAACTGTTCCGAATCAGCTAATGACATATTACAAAGCCCAATGTCTGCAAAGTGGACCGAGTCATTATGCGGGCGAGTGAGGTATATAAAGATGGCATCGGCATATCTCTTTCGAGGTCTTCTTACGATTCATCATAAGCTACCTAGTCGACTACCTCTATTACACTCGCAGTACCCTCTCGGCGTCACGATCCTTATAGACTGATACTACATAATTTGGTCAAACTTGTCGATAACAATGAGTGCAAAGCTTGACGGCCGCCCTCGCTTCGAGGCTACTACAAAGGTAGACGCGGCTCCTCTTGGTGCACGCCTCGATTTCCCCTTCTCCAAGAGATCTGCGCCAAACCGCTTCCTGAACGCTGCTATGTCCGAGAGACTGGCTAGTTACGACAAAGATGACGTTACCAAGAGTGGAATTCCATCCAAAGAGCTCATCAGGCTTTATGAGCGCTGGGGTCAAGGCGGCTGGGGCCAGGTTCTCACCGGCAACGTTCAGATTCACCCCCATCACCTAGAGGCAGAGGGCAACGCCATTATTCCGTCCGACGCCCCCTTCAGTGGACCGCGGTTTGAGGCCTTCAGCGAGCTGGCCACGAAAGCAAAAGCGAACGGAAGCTTGATCGTCGCTCAAGTCTCTCATCCCGGAAGACAAGTGCCAGATACGATCCAGAAGCATCCCATCAGTGCCAGTGCTGTTCCCATGTCCAAGAGCACCATGGTGCCGATGAGCTTCGCGACCCCCCGCGCAGCTACGCGCGAGGACATCGACGCCGTCATTGAGGGTTTCGCACACGCTGCCGAGTACCTGGAGAAAAGTGGCTTCGACGGGATGGAGTTGCATGGCGCCCACGGCTATCTGATCGCACAATTTCTCAGCCCCACGTCGAATCACAGGACAGACGAGTACGGCGGAAGCCTGGAGAACCGAATGAGGCTCGTCTTGGAGATTGCTTCCGCTATCAAAAAGCGGGTTAGCAGTAGCTTCATTCTCGGCATCAAGGTCAACAGTGTCGAGTTTCAAGACAAGGGTTTCACCACGGACGAGGCTGTTATTTTGTGCCAGGCGCTTGAGAAAGCCGAGTTTGATTATGTCGAGACGAGTGGTGGTACTTATGAGTCGAGTGGCTTCAAGCATGCCAAAGAGAGCACCATCAAGCGCGAGAACTTCTTCATTGAATGGGCCGCGCAAATCGCCAGCGCGCTTACGAAAACTAAAGTCTACACTACGGGAGGATTTAAGACCGTTGCTGCTATGGTAGACGCGCTCAAGGAAGTGGATGGAGTCGGCATAGGACGGGCCGCTTGCCAGGAACCTGACTTGGTAAATGCGATTTTGAAAGAGGGCGTACAGGGTATCTTGAAGTTTTCGCTGTCTGAAGAGCAATTCCTACAGAGACTCATGTTATCTGCCTATCAGATCGGGCAGATTGGGAGAGATGAGGAAATCACCGACGGGTCAAGCCACGAGGCGACACAGGAGGCACTCGCTAAGATCATGGCAGCACACGCTGCCGCTGCGGCGCCTCAGGGTACAGTGGCTGCTTAATATATTAGCTGAGCTGGGCAAGGACTATTGCTTTACATACATCAGTTCTCCTATGACTGGGAAGATAGATGCAAGAATCACCGCGGTATAGCACACGGTGTCTGGACACGAAGGGTAGCACAGTCTAAGCAGACAGCGAAATCTAGCTGCTGACAACCTTTCTATCTCATGTATCCTGTGGTCGTTACTCTCCTGTGGCCTTGGTTAACAATCACCATATTCCACATAAATGACGCAGCTGTGTTTTTGCCAAGTTTTGACTAGAGCCACTCTCCGCGTGGAAAACTCTAACTTCGGACCGAATATCCACAGAGACTACATATAGACTCACCTAAGCAGAACTTAATCTTATACAATTCCCACATCTTGATTGGTCTAGTGGTTAGGATACCTGCTTGTCAACGATTCTGTCGAATGATTAAGTGCGCAGGTGGCCGGGGTTCGATTCCCCGATCGAGAGATTTCCAGTGCGATATCGTTTTTTTTTTGTTTTTTCATGGACATTTCTCTTATTTGCGAAGCTTATCTAACATCCTGCCTCGTGAGAGGCAGCCCCGGCAGACAATCTGCAACACCGTATCGTATTGGGACGCTGTCTCACCAAATCTGCATTTTTTTTTAAGATCCTGTCCCGCTTTAACTCTCAAACTACCATTGCCCGTGTGTACCTAAGTACTCATGTGGCTTTCATCGTACTAGGTATCACTTGTCATACTTCTCCGCGACCAAGATCAAGGTAAAAGACTCTAACACTCCATTTCTCTGACTTGCGTCAAGGGACAATCAATGAGTAACCCATTATTATCCAAATGAACTCTTTAGTTCGCCAAAACAAACATGGCTCACTAACAACCTTTCCCAAGCAGCGGAAGATAGGGTAAGTAAAAAGCTTAGCTATGAGTATGACACATTGCAAAACGAAAGACAGTCAACAGCTACTTAAAGTGTATATAAGCTCCCAACTAGCACATTGGTTGTAGAAAGCGTATAAACGCATTCAACGGGAGGTGATAAGGTTCAAGATCGAATGAAACGGTGTTAGAGCCGGTAAGGCACACCATACGATGTCTATCGCATTCATCATCAATAAATGACAGCGGCTGGATTATAAGGATATCTTCAACAAAAGTTTACAGTTGTGATAGGGATGCCCCGAAACATACTTGAGAGAAACATACGCAGTCAAAACCTGTATCAGAAGCCCCCCAAACAGCTTGATACCTGGGATCCTCCTTCCTCCCCCTGTATCTGAACACTTCACGATGGTTTTGGGTTTCTAGATTCACAGAAGGCCTCCAGAATGCTCAAGTGAGCCAGGCTTGCTAGTGACTTTCGTTGATGTTCCATCCCACTTATGAATTGACCATAGATATTGGTCGATAAGCTACACGATCTTCACCGAGTACGTAAAGAGACGACCGACCGTGAGCTAATTCACCAATAGGTAGTCTGTCCACGATATCAGTTGGGAGCAACCAGGGCAGCATGTGTAAGTTTGCCTATACTGCGGCTTCGAATTCGTTACCAGGCGATAGATGCAAGTCATGGGACTACGCAAACACTGAGGAAGAAGCCAGGGGTGATTGTGCTGGAATGCAGTCAGACTGTGATGAAACTCTAATGATAGCACCGTTTCTTCCTCCCAGACCCGTCAGGATGCTGCTGCAATGCAGCGGAATATTGACATATAAAGGAGAACGGTCACTATCATTTGATTGAATTGATGGATGTCACTGTCACTAGCAACATCAATCCTCCCAAACCACAATCGCTGCTCCTTCACGGATACTCATTACTCCTCCAGACATACAGCTACAACATGCGAGCCAATACTCTCCTCAAAACCCTTACCACATCACTCATGCTTGTCTCGTCGGCGCAAGCAACGTACGAAATAGCGTGTTTCCAGGACAAGGAATGCAATGTCCCAGTTGAGGGAACGGGGAAGACGAAAGTCCTCTCAGGCACATGCGACTCCAATGTCAAGGGTGGCTATTCTTCAATCAAGGTCCTCCACAAATGGAACTCCCCCGCGGGCACCTTGACATTCTACGAAGCCGGCGCCTGCATCAGTGGTTTCGGGAAGCGCAAGATTTCCTTTGGAAATCCCACTATTGGTGTCTGTCACGATTTTGGATGGACTGCGAACGCTGTCTATCTCTTTGGGTGAGCATGTGGCAACTCTTTTGCTGGGTGTCCCGGGCATAGGAGAGGTTGTTGTGGAGAGGGGGCATCAGTATTACTGTACCTTGCGTTGTTGTTGCACACAGGCGAGGGCGGGCTTGGATTACGACAGATTGTAGGACGGACGAGGCCTTGTGATACTGCGTCGTACTGCGGTGTTGCTGATCATCTGCGGGGTCGTTCCTCGAGAGGGAGAATTTGGGACGGGGAGAGCTTTGTGACCTTCGCAAAAGCACATTTGAAATCCGAACATGTATGTTGGTTTCTCTTCACGTAGCGCAAACGCCGAGCTATGTGATATAGTTAAGCTCGTTCATAGCACCTCGAGGCTCCGCCTCCACGCTGCGGAATGCGAAGAAAACAACGCCGTTCCCGATCGGCTGTCTACATCTTCAAAAGTGTTTGCGCAAACTTCGATGCCGGTGACACTCACATTCCAAGTACGCTTGACATGGCAAATACCAGGTAGGAAATGCACACTGCGATGAAGACTCGATTACTTAGCAATCGCCAATACTGCTTCCTTATCAGCGAAGTGCTTCATATTACACGGGCATTCACCCCATTGGTCAATGGAGATGCCGCTTCCTCGGGCTTTTCAACTTAGCCTAACGACGAGCATGTCGACAGTCGTATTGTACCACACGCTTGGCCTGTTGTAACGTGCGCCGACGGTCTAGAAGGTCCAATGTACTCTTATATCAGTCTGGAACATGTCGTATATCATCGGATGGCCCAAGAATCCACCTCTTCAAGTTCGCAACGTTCCTTAGGATCTACTTGATCCCTAGCTCAGCAAAACGTCTGATGAGTACACCTGATCGGCCAGGTAGTGCATTTGCTAACGTAATCTGCGATGTATCAATCAAGGAGCCAGATGCTCTTCTTCCTGGCGATATGCGCCCGGCTTGCCCTTGGGTTGCTCCCAACAACACATGTGCAAACCGTTGATGAAGTCAGTGATACGACACTTGCAGCGCTCGCGGACCCAAGTGACAATCTCACGGGCATAGCGTATTTCGACCAATACATCGACCATGGAAGCCCGGAATTGGGCATCTTCCCGCAGACGTGGTGGTATAATGCGACGTTCTGGAAGGGTCCCGGCTCACCCATCGTCATACTTACACCTGGAGAGGTCGCTGCCGGGGGGTACATGTCGTACCTCAGCAATGATGCTCTCAGCGGCATGGTAGCGCAGGAAATCGGCGCCGCTGTTGTCCTGGTCGAGCATCGGTACTGGGGAAATAGCACACCGTTCGCGAATCAAACTACAAAGAACTTGCAGTATCTCACTCTCAATCAGTCGGTCTCCGACTTTGTTCACTTTGCCCGGACGGTGAAGCTGCCGTTCGACGATGCAGGATCTTCAAACGCCCCGCAAGCACCGTGGATATGGATCGGGGGTTCGTACTCAGGGGCCCTCGGGGCTTGGATTGAGAGTCTGGTGCCAGGCACCATGTGGGCGACACATGCTAGTAGCGCACCCGTTCAGGCCATCTACGACTATTGGCAATATTTCGATCCGATCCGCCAGGGCATGCCTCAGAACTGCTCTCAAGATTACTCGAAGATCATCGATCATGTCGACAGCATCTTACTGGAGGGCACTGACAAGGAACAAGATGATTTGAAGAAGATGTTCGGGTTGGAGGACCTGAGCCATAAAGATGATATTGCCAGTGCTATCTCTTCCCCTATTTGGCTTTGGCAGGGTATACAGTTCACGTCGGGCTACTCGCAGTTCTACCAGATGTGAGCTTGCAATTCCTTTCTCCCTAGTGTCTGGTGTTGAATACGTAGTTTTTCACAGTCTTCTTGAGCATCCTGATCTGTCAGATATATGTCAGTGGTTCACTAATTATTGTTCGTGGTAGGTGCGATGCTATCCAGGGAGTAATGCAGAATACCACGCAATTTCCTATCGACGGGGTTGGCTTGAAGCGGGCGCTCCCTAACTTTGCTAAATGGTTCAAGTCAAACTATTTGCCGAACTGTAGGTTTGACACGGAAGTGGTACTGGAATAGTGGCATAGCTGACTTGACACTCAAAAGATTGCTTCGACAGCTACGGATACTCCGACTGGAAAGATCCTATGAGCGTCGGCTGTTTCGACTCGTACAACAAGTCGAGCCCTGGCTTCACCGATTGGACAGCCAACAACACGTTTGACAGGCCATGGGTCTGGATGACGTGCAACGAACCTCTTTTCTACTATCAAACGTAAGCTGGTCTGTGTAGTGCTTGTTACAATATCCATCTGACGAAACATTGAAATGCAGTGGAGCTCCGGCTACTAGACAGACCATGTTTTCCCGACTGGTCGATGCCCAATATTATCAGAGGCAGTGTGAACTGTTCTTTCCGAAAGAAGGCAACTACACATACGCCAGCGCCGAAGGCCGCACGGAAGACGACGTCAACAAGCTAACCAAGGGCTGGGATCTCCCTAATGTCCTCGGCAACAAGTCGAGGATAATCTGGGTGAACGGGGAATTCGACCCGTGGCGTTCTGCATCTGTAGCTAGCGAGTTTCGAACTGGTAGTCCCGTGGTGTCGACGCCTGACGAACCCTATGTGTTGATCCCCGAGGCGAGGCATTGCAATGACCTAAGAAAGCGAAATGGGGATGCGAGTTGGAACGTGGCGATTGCGCAGGGTTATGTCACGAGTCAGATGAGTACGTGGGCCGATGAGTTCTATAGCTCAAATTAGGCCTCGGTCACAGAACAGATCTACATGTAGAGTGTAGTACAGGGGGTATCCTCTCGTGAAGAGCATGATATTGTTCATTGACGCAAGCATATATATCACAAGGCTGCTTCGTCTATCTCAGCGGTAATTATGTTTTTGAAAATGTGCAAGGTTGACATTATTCATTAAGTTATAAAATAATGAGGACAGGAAAAGAAATCCTCGTATGCAATAGTCAAAATGCTTATTGAACAATGGAGTTGGCTCATTTTACATTGAGTAGAATCTTTACGTAGAATAAGAGATTCCTATATGGATAGAACCTACCTTTAATGTGGATTTCAATAAAACCAAGGCTGACACCAACGCTCTTTTCAACTTGAATTAAAAGAGGAAGTCAGAATTCTCGCTCTTTACGAGGTTGTTCTTCCACTTATGAGGAAAGGCACTTGCCATGCAGTGGGAAGCTTCGATGAATGTGCAGGTTCCGAAGAAGCGGTTGGGCATGCGCCTAATCTGGAGCGCGGCCGTGACGTCGGTCATAAGAGTGGTGGTGAGAAGGAGTATAGGGTTTGAGGAAG